GTGGCAACAGGGTCATGTCTTCACAGCATCCGAGCTGTCCCACCACCTTTCGCAAGCTACCAACCCGTTCTTGTGATTTGGGCAATGCTGCCTATGCCCTTTCTGCTATGGGAAAAGGAATCGGAGACCAACTTCCCAGTTGAAAGAGCAGAAGAGCGAAGGAGACAGTTTCAGCATGGAGGAACAGGAAATGGGAAGAGTCTGCTGGACAAATAGGAACATCCATCTCAGATCCGTAAACTTTTATCACACCGGTTAACATTTCTCAAAGTGAAAAGGCAGAAAGCATTTTTTGAGTAAATGCTTTGAAATAAAGACTGACACACCTCACTAACTACTTTCTTCAAATCACCCATTAGCTTTGAAAAGGATATTCCCTTCAGTTACAAGTTACCTAGAGCATTTAAAATTTGGTTTTAGACCTATTTTTATATACATTATTTACAGCTGGTATCCTCACAGACTTAACACCTTATTTTGGCCAAGGGGGTTGATTCTCAGTGCTTCGTAGCATGATTTAGTGTTAGTCATGTATGTTTTGCTTTCGCCCCTTGTGTTTATTTACATTGCTCTCGCAGTACTACTACAGAACGAACTTCATAGTTAGAACCCGAAAGGTTTAAAATTAACATGGGGATTCCCCTCCAAGCTGAAAACAAACTTGTTTTCAACTTAGAAAAATAAAATTTCAGACTGGCTCGGTGGTATTCTACCGCAGAAGAGGTTTGGCATTATATTTCTTCATCAAGGTTTCCCCAAACAGCAAACATTCCCAATCAGCTTTATGAAATGCTTCCCCCTGCCCCCCTCCATCAAATTAGATATGCATCTTTGGGGTTTTTTAAAAAAAACCAAAAAAAACCCAAAAAACAAAAAAAAACCCAAACCCCAAAAGTATTTGCACTTTCTGCTTCCTTCAGTGCGAGTTTCTGTCCATTTCCCCCCACCGCAGACCACCACCAACGGAAGATTAGCACAGTCGTCTTTTTCACGACTTTAGTGCATCTAGGTTAAAAGAAAGGAAATAAGAGAAAGAGGATGGGAGGTGTGGCAAGACAGACACCGCATTTAAAGATCTCTGGCTCTTGTGAGAGTCTCCCCCCAGTGACAGAGGAAAGGAAACGACTTCATGAGGTTTTACTACCAGCTTTGACAAACACGCACCTACTCTTCAGTGTGCGTGGCACTGGCTGGGCAGCAGCGGGAGGGGAAGAGCTACCAGGTAATTTAGCCTTGTGGCTGAAATCCAGTTACAAAAAGGAACAAACTGAAATCTACTGTGGCCTCCTACTGTTACTGAAAAGGAAAAATCAGCAGCTCCAGCTGCAGCGTGGCTTTCTTCCATTTCAAAACTTTTAATTCTCCAACATTCTAAGATTAACATCAGCCCCTCAGCTTTAAAACACATTTTAGATAGAATATACTTTCCTCAATTCATCTTTGATTTTGGCACTCTGATAATTTAATAAAAATGACCTTCTAAAAGACTGAACTTCTGCGATTTTGGATTTACTTTGAGAATAAGTATCTTGGGCTATTTCTGCCCTAGTATTAGCTTGCAGCTAGCTATCCACTCAAGCCCTCCTATCACAGAGCTGAAACATAACAATTTTCTATACACGTACATGCTCAGTGGCGGTACAGAAAGACAGCTACCCTAACTATTACTTCCATTGTTTTCCACTAGGAAGAATGAGCATCACTTGGCTCATCAGGATTCACAAGCACTTCCAGAGAGCAGAAGCACTAGTTATACTGGCAGCACCTCCTGCAATAAAGGCAGATTTTATGAATTTAATCCCACTTTCATTATGGTTTGATGACAGTGGGTCTGCTGACAATATTCAGTTGAATTCTTTACATCCCTCACCTGCTGTACACCTGTGCCCTAAAGTGCCAAAATGGAGGGATACATTGCCCCCTTTGCTGTCCTACAAAATTAAGAG